CTGCAGCGACACTCAGCGACGCTCCGCCGCGGCCCAGCGCGCCCCGAGCCCGGCGCTGACGGAGGCTGCGGGGCTCCAGCGCCGATGCCCAGAGCGGACCCCGGGTGTCACCTCCTCCCCCAAGCGATGCTGCTGGCGACAGAACAGGGAAACGTCTCACCCTGACGCTTCACTAATGAGGGTTTGGCTAATGACTTAAACTGAGCTCGTTTATACTCCTCCATGCCCCAAAGCCACCAACTGACACAGACATGCTGCTGCCTGTCCCCTTCCCATGACACAGAAGTCTTCAAAAACCGCCCAAATCCCCCATTTCATCCAGACACAAGGGCACACTCCCAGTGCCTGGGGACTGGCAAACAGCGGAGCAGTGGTGGGACACTGGAAAGGGCTGTCCCCAAAGCCACCGTCCCAAGGGGGGGGTCCGTGGGCCAGACTAGATGATCTTCAAGGTCTTTTCCAACCTAGGTGATTCTGTGAAGGCACCTGCCTGGGACGAGCCCGCTGCACGCTTAGGGTTTAAAACTGGTGTAAGGTAAAGAAAAATCTCACTCTGGATCAAAGCTCTGCCAAAGCTGCTGCATCCAAGAGGGCTGGGGCTGAGCCCGGACTGGCCGAGCAGGTTCAGGCTGCAGCTGTGCACTAAACACCAGGGGAGAGGTTCTGATCCATCTTTTTTCCCCCTCTCAAGGTCGGGCAGTGGCTCTCTCACACCTGGAGCTCCATGACCGCAGCCTGCAGGGTGAAGCCGCTGCTCGGCAGCGGGACGTGGCGGTTTGAAACACCGAGCAGACTGAGAACTGCCTGGGCCCACCCGCCCCCACCCCAGTCCAAGGGCAGCTCTGAGGCAGCTCGGGACCAAGTACAGACCTGGCCCAAAGCACCCCAAAACCCCCACATCCTCCTAAGTGCGTCCAGCCCAGCACGGCGGCTGTTCTTTTAAGGGATGGTCAAAAGGTCTCCTCTTCACGTATCCTCTTTACAAAGAGCTTTAGAGGCTTTTCTGTGTAATGATCCGAGATGGACCGTGCGAGTCCAGCCCGCATGGCACTGCTGTTACCAAGAAATCCCTTTGTCCATTAAAAATATTACACGGACCCAAGCAGCATGAAACTCGCCTTTGTGGGAAAGCCTGCTTTTTAAGTTAAGCCTTTTGAAGTTTAAGCCAAAAGGGTTTAACAACAAGCCCTACCATTTGAGCTTTTTTGGCCCTAATTTTAATACACTTGGAATGGCAGGCACTCAGACGCCTCGGAAAATCCCAGCTTTCCGCAGGCAGTTCGAATGACTAACCTGCAATTAAACCTCCTCGCTGGGGTGAGAGGCAGCCCCACGCCTGCCAGCCGGTCTCACCACGGAGCTGCTGCACCCGGTCAGGTCCCCTCAGCCTCCAGCACCGGGGTTTGTCTGCTCCCCCACTGTCAGCTGCAGGGTGAGGACAGCAGCCAGAGCTGGACACTGCTCTCACCGAGGCCACGCAGGACTTCACAGCCACCTCCAGCCTCCTCCAGCTCAGCACCTCGCTGTGCCCGTCACCACTGCTCCGTCCATCCCACGGACACAGGCCCCAGCTCTGTCCTATCAACGAATTTCCCCTCACTCACCTACTGCTACCAACCACAGTCAGTGAAGCCACAGCAAAGCATCCCTGGGGGAAACGCCCCTTCAGTGGCATTACAGTGAACTGGCCAGAGCTGCTTTTGGGAAATATCTTACAAGCTACTTATAGTCAAAAAACCCTATCAAGGAAACTGGAAATGCACTTCCCCTGCAATCCAAGCCACACGTAAGAGTTAAGTCCTCCACATTTTCCTTCCAAAAGACATGCACCACCTCAACCAGGCAGTGTCTGAGATGCATGACCTTCCAAAGTGAAAATTAAAGATGTTGTATCAGTCCAATTACATCCTAAAACCCCTCTCTAGCCTTAAGAGGAACCTACACACGGTGTGTGCACAACGTGAGACTCCCCAATACAGCATCAGGGTATTTTCAAGGCTAAAGGTGCAAGAGGTCAGATGTAATTAATCACCAGAGCTGTGGTGAGTTCTAGCCAGGTGCTGCAATCCACCTTCCCTAAGCAGAGAGAAACTGCACCGAACGTGCCCATTACCTGCCTCGGCAGCTGAAGACAGGAGACAGATTTTTGAAAAAAAAATTATTTTATTGGAACTCATCTGAACATCAGATATACCTGGTGTTGGTTAGCAAGAACCGTTTGTACATTTGATATTGATGGTGCCAAAAACCCAAACAGTGACTGACTGGATGAGATGGAATTAAAAAAAAAAAAATGTTGAAGAGGTTAAAATGTGAACAGAAAGCAGAAAAATCAGCCAGTCTAAGATTCAGTGTGAAGGCAAAATATTTCCTGATAAAACAGAATCCTTTTACAAAATATAAATTTTGTAAGAAAATCATGGAGAGGGAGAGAGAAAGAGAGACAGAGGGGAAAGGAAAAATAAAGATTAGCAGGACAGAGATGCAGAAGCTTACACTGCCCAAATGGCATTAAAACCTAGCTAGTAACCTCACCATAAAATGAAACATGCTGGAATACACCGTGCTCCACCCCCCACACATACGACTTTGAACAGTAATGAGGAAGCTCCCCAGCGAGTGCTGCACTAGGTTATTCCAGAAGGGCCAAGCTGTCCCACATCGGCTGTCGGAGAGAAGAAGCACTAACGCAGCAGAGGGAACTAGTGCCAGTCTGCTCAGCGCCTGGGGCGGCGAGGACTCGGGGAACGCCTGCTCACCTGTTCTTCCTACCAATGCAGGTGGGGGGGGAGGGATAAAACATTTAAAATCTAGTCTATTTTAAAACAATAGCATGCAATACAGGCCTCCAGGGGAAACCTGCGCTGTTCCCTTTATTAGAAACTGGCCTAATGGTCTAGACAGTGGCTGCAGCCATCCTGAGGTTTTTGGCTGCGCAGGGCGGGTCCGGGCGAGCGCAGCACAATGACAATTCTGAAGCAGGTTCCTCGGGTGTGAAAGCCTTCAGGAAAATCATTGTGGAGCCACTTTCGAGGGGATCTGAGGCCTTTAAGCTTTAAAAATAAACCAGCAGTCTGTACTTTTTGGGTTTTTTTTGGTTCAGTACAAATGGAATAAACTTGGCTGCTTATACACCGTCAGTAAGTCTCAGATTTCAGAGCAGAGGGAGAGATGAAACAAACTGGTTTTGGGCACCTACTGGTAACAAAACTTTGTCCCTGCTTAACTCTCTGCCATCCCTCAGGAAGTGGAAAGCACATGTTTAGGTAGTGTAAGCCTTTTTCCTTTTATTTAGAATACCCTCTTTGTTTAAACAATATTCCCCCCCCAGATACAAAGTTCGGCCAGTAAAGATTACATGGAAACTGGAACACGCATCGTATGGAATACAAGATGCACTGGATGAGGAAGTTTAAAAACTTTCCGAGCGAAAAGTAGAACAAAGAAAAAAAAAAAAAGTCTCCTAACATTTTCCCAAAGGTTTCACTCTCCTGTCACACACACTCTCCAAATGACAGCTAGCAAATTCAACTCTGCAAAAAGAAAACAGAGCCACGTCAATCGAGAGGAGAGAAAACAAGCCTCAAGGACACAAACTGCACCTTGGCCTCGGAGGAGCGATAGGTCCGGAGCAGCTGCGACCTCTGGCTCCTGCCTCCACTCACCTATGTTAGCTTCTTGGCTTTGTTGTAGAGCGAATCCACTACTTTACTCATATTCTGAATAGTCTCGAGGGCAGCTTCATAAGTTTTGTCTACAGGGGGTTCGTCGAAGATGATCAGGACTCCCTCGCCTTGGTCAAGGATGCCTGCGGACACAAAGCAGCGGTTACCAGTGTAACCAGGTCAGATCACTCCTTCCAGACAGCAGGAATTTAGGGATCTACCCAGCAAACGGCTGTGTTGGGTTTGGAAGAGGCTCATGTGTTGTACTGAACCAACTGATTTTTGTCTGGACTGAATTAACAGTGGCTCATCCAGGAAAAAAAAACAAACATGTCCCAGAGAAGACATATAGGAGATGCTTATGCCCCCCCCCCCCGCCCCCCAAAAGCCATTTTATAATTAAACTATTTCCAGGTGCCAGATGGGCAATGCAGCTGGGTTCTGTAATTTTTGAGCTATTCTCTAACCAGTATGCTTCTTCCAGCTACCTCCCACTCATCTTGCTCAGCTAGACCAAGAGGGCTTTCTAAATCAACACCAGGGACAACGTAAACAAGAACAGAGCCGTTTCCTTGAGGACTTATTAGAGAAGCAGCCTTCCGTGGTCCCAGACAAACCCAAACCAATCAGCTGTGCTGTGTGGGTGCCCCCACGAGCAATCACAGAATGCTCCCAACACAAATTATCTGGGAAAGGTGACCACATCCTCCAGTAAGCTCCAAGGCCGAAGGGCACTTCTTTGCTAGGCAGCCCACCAATGGGCCTGGTGACTGTCCCTGGATGCAGCTGCAGCAAGGAAGGACTTCACAGCAGTATCTGATTTGTGAGAAATTAAATCTCGAGCCTGATGAAGGCAGACGGAAGGAGCAACAAGAACAGCGATGGGCAGAGACAAAAATAAACCCAGTGCTCACTGTTCTTCCCATAGCGCCCGTTAAGCTGTGTGCGCGCCGTCGGGGCGGCACCAAGCAGTCTGAGGAGGAACCTTGGGCTTCAGAGGTGCAGCAGTGAGGAGTCTACCCACAGCCTGCTCACACATGACCTGGCCGTGGGCACCAGGGCAGTCAAAATCGAAGGATGCAGAGACTCACCATGAAATTTCTTGTCCAAGATCATCTGTGACAGTTTCCTTTCTACCTCAGCCTGAAATTGAAGCAGAAAAATTAAAAGTCTCCTAGAACTATATAAAGAAATACGAATTTTACTACTCTACACTCAACAGCCCTGGCAGGATATAAGCACTGCTTAAAAGCAACTATTTTATCACTGAACACGATGT